GGAAGCCAAGCTTCCCGCCTGCCGTGCCAGCTCTGAGCTCCACTCAAAGCAACAAAGTTTCAATTATAGAAGGTAAATAAATCCCAGAATAAAAAGAAAAAAAGGAGAGGCTGGGAGCTTCCGTTGCCGGGGGGCTTGGCCAGCCTGAAAATGGCCCTCAGCTCCTCACCCAGGCTGGCCTAGACACCCCAGTGGGGACCCCCACCCTGAAGGGGGTGTGACCAGCTGCAAAGAGCCATCAGCCCCTCACCCAGGCTGGCCAGGCACCCCAGTGGGGACCCCCACCCTGAAGGGGGTGTGACCAGCCTGCAAACACCCATCAGCCCTTCACCCAGGCTGGCCAGGCACCCCAGCAGGACCCCCACCCTGATCTGGGACACCCTTTAGGGCAAACCAGCTGGCCCCCACCCTTGCACCAGGCCTCTATCCTATATAATGAAAGGGTAATATGCAAACTGACCCTAACAGCAGAACACCTGGGAATGACTGGTCACTATGACACACACTGACCACCAGGGGGCAGACGCTCAATGCAGGAGCTGCCCCCTGGTGGTCAGTGTGCTCCCACAGGGGGAGCTCTGCTCCGCCACAAGCCAGGCTGATGGCTGCCAGTACAGCAGTGGTGGTGGGAGCCTCTCCCGCCTCCTCAGCAGCATTAAGGATGTCATACTGCAGCTTAGGCCTGCTCCCCTCTGGCAAGTGGACATCCCCTGAGGGTTTCTGGGCTGCCAGAGGAATGTCTGACTGCCAGCTTAGGCCCAATCTCCCGGGGAGCGGGCCTACGCCAGCAGGTGGTCATCCCCCGAGGGGTTTCAGACTGCGAGAGGGCACAGGCCGGGCTGAGGGACCCCCCCAAGTGCACAAATTTTTGTGCACCGGGCCTGTAGTATGTAATAATTCTAAATATTAAAGGCAGTTTAGAGATTAGAGAATAGTAGAGGATTGAAAAATATTTTAGGCAAGGTTATAGTTTATAACTCTAGGTGGCATGTTGGGAGGAGATACAGGATACAGGATACAGGTGGTAGAGCTCAGCACTGCATAATTCACAGGTGGAATGAGGAGCCATTAGGTATTTCCAACACTTAGCCTTCGGAAGACAACTCCATGTGTTGTTAGTATCTGTTGAGCTATCTGTGGGTTTGTCAACAGAATACTGTACCATATTTTTCTGGGTATAAGATGCCCCATGTATAAGACACCCTCCCCCCCACTTTTCCAACCCAAAATTAAGAAATCAATATTTTAAACATTTTTCTGGTTTTCCTCTTAAGGCCTTCTTTTTTGGCATCTTAAGGAGTTGTTCTTCCTGTTTTCTCCACTGTCTGATCATACACTCAGTGGGAGGAGGTCCAAATTCTCTCTCTGCAGCTCTATTTCCATGCTCTTTTGCATAGCTGATTACATTCAGTTTGAATTTTGCAGAGTAAGACAATCATTTACCAGTAATTATCCTTTTATTTTTTGACATCTTTATGGGCGCAGAACACTCTGTTCCCTGTTGCATCTAAGCACTCTCCACCTCAGGGGTCCTCAAACTTTTTAAACAGGGGGCCAGTTCACTGTCCCTCAGACCGTTGGAGGACCGGACTATAGTTTAAAAAAAAAACTATGAACAAATTCCTATGCACACTGCCCATATCTTATTTTGAAGTAAAAAAACAAAACGGGAACAAATACAATATTTGTATTTGCATGTGGCCCGTGGGCCGTAGTTTGAGGACCCCTGCTCTACCTCCACCTCCAATTACAGCATCAGTTGATGTCAGTAACAATAAGGTTCATGATTAGGGGAAGCCTGTTCGACAAGGTTTGGGCAGCTATGCACCCACACCCACCTGGCTCCATCCTCGGCTGACTTCTGTGTATAAGACACCCCATGATTTTCAATCTAACGATTTTAGAAAAAATTAGTGTCTTATACATGGAAAAATACAGTACATTGCTTACTGTTTTATGTTTAGACTCGAGGTCCAGTGCATGAATTTGTGCACCAGTGGGGTCCCTCGGCCTGACCGGCAGATTGGGCCAAAACTGGCTCTCTGACATCCCTTGAGGGGTCCTGATTGCAAGAGGGCATAGGCCAGGCCAAGGGACCTCATCAGTGCACGATCGGGGCCAGGGAGAGACGTGGGAGGTTGGCCAGCTGGGGAGGAACTGCGGAGGGCTCCAGGGCATGTCCAGCCCATCTCACTCAGTCCCAATCAGCCAGACCCCAGCAGCAAGCTCATCTACTGGTCAGAGTGTTTGCCCTCTGGTGGTCTGTGTACATCATAGCGACTGGTCAACCAGTCGACTGTCTGCCCCCTGGTGGTCATTGCATGCCATAGCGAGCGGTTGAGGAGCCTTAGCATATCATTAGCATATTATGCTTTGATTGGTTGAACAGCAGACTGGTCGACTGGACACTTAGCATATTAGGCTTTTATTATATAGGATGTTATGTCTTATAGACATTATAAAATATGTAATAACATACTGAAATTATAGCTTCATCTGATAAACAAAATGCAAATATTTCACTAAGAGATTAATGAAACCTGAAGCATAATGGCTAACCCTTACATATTTGGTTTGGGACTATTGAAAGCCATCCAAACAGCCTACACTCATTACTAGTCCTGAGTCCCACTCTGTCGCTCACAGTCCAGCACTAGTATCTGGTGCAGAAGAAAGTGGAATTCTCAGGAAGACCCATTTTTAGCTCAGGCAAGGCGATGGAGGAATTTGTGAAGGATAAGAATATAGAGGGAAGTTTTAAATTAAAAGGAAATCCAGAGGTCAATATGAAAGGGTTCAAAGGAAGTAGCACCAACCCTATCATAATGTAGAGTATTCAAATAAGAGGACAGTGAAATAAAACATTATGCATTTTGGGAGGAGGCCAAATATGAAAGGGAAATGAAACGTAGTTTTGTTACTCTAATTGGTCTTAAAGTTTTGTTTAACTCTGATGTAAAATATTTTCTGTGCCACCACTGACTATATCTACGGGGGGGGGGGGGGGGCCCCGGGTGGCGGTTAAGGGGAAGGAAAAGGTGTCTAAACTAGGGGAATGGGATTAGTAAGTGTTTGAGGTTCCTTTGTAAACTTTCAGCATAATATAGATGGCTGTGAGATAGCATATCATCTTCGTACATCTCTCATAGTTATTTTTTTGTACCAGCAAAATCTTTGGTTTATATTTATTTCAAACTTCAAATTACTAAATCAGAGTTGGGTGCTCAGTTTTGATGTACATGTTGATTTATATCCCTGTGCTTAATATGAAATCCATGCCAATGATAATTAGCACTGGCTTCAAAGCAAATTTTCCTTCGTACATAGTTAATAAAGGGATGATGTATAAAAATTACCATTTCTATAAAGTATTTTTTCCTTATGCAAGGAATAATATTAAAGTCTTCTGAGTGGGGGATTCAAGAGGCAAGAAAGGAGTCACCCCATTTCTAATAGCTGAATTTGAGAAAAGTTTTATAGACAATCAAGAGAGTAGGGAATGAGATTTTCATTATTTTAGGACTGGAAATATTTCACAAATTTCATTAGTATGTGGACCATATATAGTTTGTTTGGTTTGGTTTGATTCATTCTGTTGAACTATTGACCCATCTTTCATAAAATACTACCATGCTCTTCTTCCTTCTATTCCTTTTGTTGCTGTCTTTTCACCTCATTTTCTCCCTCCTGAAATGGCTGATGTGTACAAATTAGATGACACAGAGCTCTTCCCCAATCAGCTCTTCCTACTATCACCCAGGCAAAATGTAAGGACCTAAAGTTTCAAGGAACCCAATGGAAACAAACCAGAACAAACCAGAAGTAGGTAACAAGAGAGTTACTCATCTTCTGCAGTGGTTCTCAACCTGTGGGACGCCACCCCTTTGGGGGTTGAACCACTCTTTCACAGGGGTCGCCTAAATACATCCTGCATATCAGATATTTACTTTACGGTTCATAACAGTAGCACCATTACAGTTATTAAGTTGCAACGAAAATAATTTTATGGTTGGGCAATGAAAATAATTTTATGGTTGAGGGTCACCACAACATGAGGAACTGTATTAAAGGGTTGCGGCATTAGGAAGGTTGAGAACCACTGTTTAATGACTTCATCTAATATTTTAGCATTTTCTTGTCTTTGTACTTTCTGTTCTTTCTAATATCCCAACTTTTTCTTTTGGTTCCAACTCCCACACCAACCCAATTTAGATCAGAATCCCTTGTTATAATACACTCACTTAAAGACCCACTTTTTAAAAGCATTTATATTAGCTTGTAAATACCTACCTCGCTTTATTTTACAAGTCTATTTGGTCTACTTGCTTATCTCACTTTAAGAAACTAATTCTTCCCTGGCCAGTGTGACTCAGTGGTTGAGCATCAACCCATGAACCAGGAGGTCATGGTTTGATTCCCAGTCAGGGCACATGCCCAGGTTGTATGCTGGATCCCTGGTGGGGGTTGGGAGGGGTACTGGAGGCAGATAATCTATGATTATCTCTCAGCATCGATGTTTCTATCTCCCCCCCCTCCCTCTTTGAAATCAATAAAAACGTATTTTAAAAAAGAAACGAATTCTTTTAGTGGCTGTGAGTGGCATGAGAGAAATGTAAAAAGCATCAAGAAAAATCAGGGTAAGAGGAGAGGAGAAAGACCTGAAAATTAAACTAAGTACTTACTTTGCAAAGTATCTTTTCTGTCTCACTTTACATAAACGTGTCTGTTATTTTCCAACTAACTGGTGGAGGTGGTGCTTATAAAGATTTTTCCCTCCTAGAACTCCAGAATTTTAAAGTATGTCTTTCCTTTCCATTCTTCTATATATTTTTCCTTGCTTCTCATACCATGGCAAAATTATTACTAATAAATATCAGCCCTCACAGTCACATGTGCAACAAACTCATAAGTGATAAAACTTTAGTGATGGTAGGGAACTTAGAAGCAGGATAGTCCAACTCCCACCTTTTATAGATGAAAAAAACTGAGGTTAATCAAAGTTACATTATTTAGTAAGTCATGTATTTAATTAAAGAACCAGTAATGGAACCCAAGTCTTCCATTTTCCAATCAAGTCTTAATTTCTCTTTCCTCGATCTGCTCTTTCTTGCCGGGGGTTTATATATGAAGCAAACCATTAGTTCACCGTACAGTTTTGTCTCCTACTTCTACCCCGCCGACCCCGCCTCCCTCCTGCAGCATTTTGTTCGCTGATGGTGGACGTCTGGAACGCGCAGGAAGCTCTCCCGGACTGAATAACAAACAGCAAGTGCCGACCCCGTCCCGAGGGCTGTCTTGCACCACCTTGACCCAGGGATTTTAGGATATAAAGGCGAATTCAAGGTGGTTCCCATCTTCTCCTCCAGTTGCTATCCGGTGGAGCTGCCTCCAGGACTTGCAGTGAATACGGTTTTGCAGGTGACTTGCTGTGTCCCGCACAGTAAGTAAAGCGTAGACAGCCTCCGGACACCCACAGCAGCCGTCACCGTCCTCCTCTGGTCCTCGGTCTTCGGGTTTTCGCCGTGAGCCCCAAGTGCCTAAAGCCCCCAGTGAGGACTTACGAGGGGCTCCATCAAGGTCAGTGCAGTGACCATCTCACCGACCTCTCATCGGAGGCCAATCCCGCTGCCTCCGACCCTGCCCCCCATCTCCAGGGCCCAACATGGACTTCGTCGCACACCACTTTTCCGCCCGTAAACGGCAGCTGGGAACGAAACATTCCGCCCCCAAATCTCGCTGAACACCTCTGGCCCCACCTCTCTGCCTTTGGCTACAGGTGAGGGTCCAGGGTGGGATCCAGAAAAGAAAAAAGAAAAAGGATTTATTTCTGGCCTGCCCCTCCTTCCCTTGAGGAATCCAGTCGCCCAGGAAGGCTTTCCGAAAGCCGCTCTGCTTTGCAGCCTTGGTTGAACTAATCTGGGGTTGGGGAGCTGGGGAGAAAAGAAAAGTCGTTGTGGGCAGCTGGGTGCGCCCGCCATCAGTCTCCCGCGGTGGCGCGAAGGTACCCGACGATGTCCCGGTGGCCCCGCTCCTCAGCCAGGTCCACGGGCAGGCGGCCCCAGGCATCGCGCACATCCAGCTGCGCCCCGGCTCGGTGCAGCGCCACCAGCGTGTCCAGGAAGCCCTCCCGGGCGGCGTCGTGCACGGGCCGCGTGAGGGTGGCGGGGTCTGCGCAGTTGGGGTCCGCGCCGTGGATCAGCAGCTGCTCGGCCACGCGGGTGCTGCCCATCATCATGACCTGCGGGCGAGAGCAGAATGGTCAGGGCGAGGGGAAAGCGAGATGCAGGCCTGGGCAGGGACAGGTAGAACCATATCAAAAAATGAAGTATCTCCTTAATGCAGAGGCGCTTCACAAGCCCCAGGAATCTGGTTAAGCTCATTTGCTGACACAATATTTCCCCTCTCCCAGTCCCCCCACCCGCTCCAGGTACACTCTTTACTGAGGTTCAGGTTATTTTCCAAATATGCAACAAAGAGCTGATGATAATATGCTTGTCTTCTTTGTGAGAAAAAAGAAAAAGCTGACTTCCATTTGAACATGGGAATCCATTTTGTTAAATGACTAATAGGTGGACTTAAGTTTAAAGGTTTTTAAAATCTGAAATTATTTCTCTTGCTCTGCCCTCTCTCCCCAGACATAATCCGTGTCTAAAAATCTTTATTAGGCAGTCAGCTGATGCTATATCTTGGAAGTTAGAGTAATGCTTTAGGGGAGAAAATGAGAAACACCTACATTTAAAATAAGGCTTACTTTGTTTAGTTCTCACAGTAAAACCTCCGTGGAAGGCCTTTGCTTTTCAATCACATATGTCTGTGCTTATAAATGTAATATAGTCCTACAGTTTGAACCAAAATTGGAGCTATAGGGGAAAAAGTAAAGAGAGACACACCTTGTTTTATCAGATAATGAAAACCAATTATTTGTTGTTAATAAATGCTTCACCATTTTAAATATTTAACTTAATGTTATAGAGAAGGCCCAAAGTGTAGAGGGTGGTAGACTTAATGTAACATGTAATATTAATACTATATTTACATTGTACAGGATTTTATAATATTAAATAGTAAATGTTTTGCTATATGAAAAGAACTTGGATGCCAGTAGTTGAATCAGAACAATGCATAACTTAGAAAAAGGATCTTTGGAGCAGTAATCCTATGGCACCCATTTGTATAAATATACATTATGCAAACATTTACTTTTTATTTTAACAATAAAAAAATTTTTGACAACTAAATATCCAAAATGGAATTATTTGTTCTTGTGACTTTGTGTTTTAAAATGTACTATGTAACTGAAAGATAGTATACTAATTTTTTTGTTTTGTTTCATGAATATTAGAAGCATCCAATTCCTTGCTTAAAAACCAAGATAGGTTATCATTCTTACTAGTGATATAAAGGCTGTTTCACATATAGAGAGGGGGGAGGAAAAGTGGTTCTTAATATCCCAGAAAATGGTGAATTAAAACTATAAAACCTACTTATACAATTATTAGTATAATTTGAAGTCTTTAACAACGACTGTACCATATTTTTGCTGCTTTGAACCATCCCTCGTTTCTTGTAACACTTTTCTATGAATTCTAAAGGGATGAACATATATCTTCTTTAAAATTTACACTATTAGCAAGATTCATTAATAAAAGCTTGGTTCTGGAAGGTACTAATTAAAGCGGGAATAATAAAATATTGAATAAATGTATTTCAACAATGAAGAGGCTAATTATGTATGAAGACTCTTTTTCTTTTTTAAAAAAATATATTTTTATTGATTTTTTACAGAGAGGAAGGAAGAGGGATAGAGAGCCAGAAACATTGATGAGAGAGAAACACCAATCAGCTGCCTCCTGCACACCCCCCACTGGGGATATGCCCGCAACCAAGGTACATGCCCTTGACCAGATCGAACCTGGGACCCTTCAGTCCGCAGGCCAACGCTCTATCCACTGAGCTCAACCGGTCAGGGTAAGACTTTTTTCTATTTAAAAACTACCTAACAGTTGCTGCGGGGAATGCTTTTGTAATCCAAGCATTCAGTATGGCAATTAAGCAGTAAAAATCCATTGAATCATTTTTTTTCTTACGTAACGCTCAAGAGATAATGCTAACATAAAATAAGAGGAGTAAGTATTGTGGTTTAGGAACCCTGTCTTGTTCCTTTGTTTAGAAAAAGACTGCAAAGAATTTCATATTGCAGCTTGAAACTTAACAGTGAGGTTTTTTTTCCTCCATGTACTATGATTTTGTGGGATTCTTTAAATTCAATACAGAATGCGTAAGTTGTAATTTATCTCTGATCCTGAGACGGGAGAGGATATACTGATATTTTTTCCATCATTAAAAAGAACAAACTGATGCAGTGGGTTTTTCATTCTTTTTTTTTTTAAAGAATTTTTTGGTGGGTGAACACCTGCTTTACACCTGGGCTCCACACCCCTAGCTAGAGAGAAACAGTGGAGACCCAGGTCCCAGAGGCGCCCCAGGGAGGCTGCGCCCCCGCCTTCGCGCGCCCCCTGCCGACGAGGCCCCTGGGCCCCAGGTACCTGGATCGGGCGCCTCCCGAAGCCGTTCACTCCGTTGGGATCCGCGCCGGCCTGCAGGAGCTGCCGCACGGTCTCCACTTGCCCCCGCGCCGCGGCGCTGGCCAGACCCGCATCGCTGCCGCTGCCTCCGAGCTTGACCTTGTCTTCTTCCCACATTTCGCAGACGCCAGACAAAATCGTGATGATCTGCCGCTAGCCCCGAGCTTCACGACACTCCTCGCTCCGTCCCCGCGTCGCCCCGGAGCGCTCTCTGCTCCTCGGGAGAGCCCCGCTGGCTCCAGTCCCCTGTCGCCGCCCTTTGGTGACTTGGCGGCTCGTGCAAAGGCCAAACGGCCTGTGGTTAAGTCGGCCTTTTCCGGGCGATCGCGAATGAGCGGACGCGCCCAGCTCGCTCCCAGGAAAGGCGCCTGGTGCGAGGGCTCCGGTTGGAAGGGCAGGAGCGAGCGTCCCGATCCCAGGCGCACTGCAGTTTCTCGCCGAGTGTTTAGCCGGCTGGGAGCGGAGGGGTTTGGTCCAGCTGGGCGGTGCGTCGGCTCTCCCCACCCCCTTTGGCTCCGCCCTCAGCCCGCATGCCAGCTCGGCTATGCAGCTCGCGGGCCGCAAGGCGGGGCCAGCGGAGCTGCAGGGGACGGAGTAGGGGCGGGGATGGGGGAGTTGACGAGGTAGGGGCGGGGATAGGGGAGTGGAGCTAGCCCAGAGGGTGCTAGGACGCATGCGCCAGACGCCGGGAGCTCGGAGGCCCCGGCCTTACACGCCGCGAGTCCGGGAAAGTCTTGGTCAAGGTTTTGGAAACATCGAATCGATGTACTCAGCCCCTCCCTCCAGCAGGCGGAGCAGCGTCTTTCTATTCCTTCAGCTGGCTTCACGCTGGAGACGTTAGTCGCTCCCCGTAGAATCAATGACGGAAAGACATTTAAAATAACTCGGTCTTAAGATGTCTGAAAGTGACAGCTCTGCACCGGTCATGCAGGTTATATTCATCCCCAGGCAGTACTTGAACTTCACTAGCTTCACATCTTGCACCAACCTTAGCAATTTTCTTTTGGGTGTGTCTTCCTATTTGAATGAGTCAAAAAAAAAATCAGTATACCTGGTAAGAGAAAAATCCCGGGAATCCTGTTTTGAATGTGCTACTTATTATTTTCATCTTTGAGTTATGGTTACACTCCTTGTAAAAAAATGACCTTTAGATTGAGAGTGACAACATGTCAGGCACCTAAAAATATCAATAAAAATATCAATTTTAAGAATCTGAGATCACACTTTCATGATATTTGAACAGTTTATTTTTGTTTTCACTCTTACTTATTAAAACCCACCTCAGCAAGTATTTCATTTTTACTTGTCGTGAGTAATAAAGGGAATTTATGCAATGATAATGAAACACAATAAAACAGGGGTGTGGTGCTGGCTCTGCCATTAAACAGGTTGAACCTGTCATTAAACCCTCTTCTGAAGATTTAAAGGCCAAGTGCTTTTCTTCTTAATCTTCCTAGGTGAGTTTGCATTAATGCAGCGGTTCTCAACCTGTGGGTCGCGACCCCTTTGGCAGTCGAATGACCCTTTCACAGGGGTCGCCTAAGACCATCCTGCATACCAGATATTTACATTACAATTCATAACAGTAGCAACATTACAGTGATGAAGTAGCAACGAAAATAATTTTATGGTTGGGTCACAACATGAGGAACTGTATTTAAAGGGCCAGAAGGTTGAGAACCACTGCATTAATGCATTGCTTTAAAGATTTAAAAAATTATAGCTGATGCTTGATTGAAATAGGAAGAGAGCCACCAGTTGTGTGTCTGTTGCCTAAAAACTTTGGTGAAAAACTACATGAAAGTAGGTCTCTCCTAATACTGAATGGTTTTTATTTACTACATCATTTTTGGTTCAGAATGCCAAGGAGGAAGACTCTTAAAGGGAGGGCAATTGTTTGCTTCCTTGCAAATGAGACTCCATATGTTTCTTCTGGCATGCCTTAGCTTGGACTCCCCTCCCCTCAAACCACTATAGAATGAGGAAGAGCTCTTTAAAGAAAGGAAGGCCTATGGAAGTGGTAGTGAGGGCTGAAGAGATACTGATTTTCAAGAGAGTGGAAGTTCACCCGGATGGAGAAGAGAAAGAGGCAATATTAATAATTATTTCTCTCTCACCCTACCCACATTTTTTCGGTTTCAGATTTTTTGGTTCCTCTGCCTTGTAATCTTATTTGAGCCTCTACTCTTATCTGGAAAAAGAAATTGTCCTTTTGTTTGTTGATGGCGGCTCTATTCCTTCATCTGGCCACAGCAACAGAAGTCTACCTTTGGGTGAAACAACCCAGTGAGTTGTTTTGCTTAGACTTTGGGGCCAGTATCTATGCAGTGTATTGGGAATTACAGGTGTGTTGGTAGAATTGGAGGAAAAGGAGGAAAAATGGACAGTGGGAAGCCAGAGTCTTTGAAAGGAATGACATTAGTTCTTTGCTAGTCACTCTCAGGGGTTGAGTCACTAAACTGATATAGGTGGATGTGGTGGCAAATGAATTCAGTCCAGAATATCTTTATCAGAACAGCCTGGTTACTCTAAAATTTAGTGCACAGCCAAATGTTGCAAGACAGGTTGTTTTTTATTTATTTATTTTATTTTTAAAATACATTTTTATTGATTTCAGGGAGGAAGGGAGATAGAAACATCAATGATGAGAATCATTGATTGGCTGTCTCCTGCACGCCTCATTACTGGAAATCAAGCCTGCAACCCCAGCATTTGCCCTGCCTGGGAATCGAACCTGTGATCTCCTGGTTCATAGGTCAATGCTCAACCACTGAACCACACTGGCCAGGTGGCAGGTTGCCTTTTAAAGGCGTGTTGTTAGGGGAGGCAGAGGAGGGTGGAAGTGGGCAAAGCAGTGGTGGGGGCCATGGGGACTCCTGCAATAATGTCAACATTAAGACATCTTAAATGAAATAAAAATAAAGACGTGTTGTTGGGACCTTCCCTCTAATGGATCCAGTGATTAAATTTAGTTCAACAAAACTTATTTCAGCCCTAACCGGTTTGGCTCAGTGGATAGAGCGTCGGCCTGCAGACTGAAAGGTCCCAGGTTCAATTCCGGTCAAGGACATGTACCTTGGTTGCCGGCACATCCCCAGTAGGAGGTGTGCATAGGGCAGCTGATTGATGTTTCTTTCTCTTCGATGTTTCTAACTCTATCCCTCTCCCTTCCTCTCTGTAAAAAATCAATAAAATATATTTATATATTAAAAAAACAACTTAGTTCAGCATGTCCAGGAATTCACAGTTGAATAAGATCTAGGTCCTAGCTTTTAATTAACTTCCCCAATGGCACTCAGAACTAATAAATAGAGAGTTTCAATTTAATATGATAACTTTACTGAGACTTGTTTTTACAGGGAATTTGGGGAATAAGGGAAGAAGGGAACTTAACTCAAGGTCGAGGTGCAGCTGAAGAGAGTTTTTTTAAATAATGCATTGGAAACTAACTGTTTCCTGTCTTCTCAACTTGGATTTCTTTGAAACTTAACAAAAAGGTTAGGAAAAGATAGCCTGAGCCAATTTTTTCTTGTTTTTTTCATCCTCACCTGATGATATTTTTTCCATTGGTTTTCCCCTCATCATTTTTTAATACATATTTTTATTGTAGATAGTATTACAGGTATCTTCCATCTCCTCTCCTCCCCCCCCCCACTCCTCCTAGCACCTCCTTCCTCCAACCTATTGGCTGGGGGGCATGGACTATGCATATAAATATATGTTCTTTGGTTTATCTCTTCTTGTCCCCCAACCCCACATTGAGGTATGGAACCAACTGGCATATCTCAAATGATTTTTAGAGAGAGTGGAAGGTAGGGAGGAAGGTGGTGGGGGGAGAGAGAGAAATATTGATGTGAGGGAGACACACCAATTGGTTGCCTCCTGCATGGGCCCCGACCAGAGCTGGGGATTGAACCTGCAACCAAGGTACATGCCCTTGACTGGAATCGAACCTGGGACCCGTGAGTCCGTAGGCCGACACTCTATCCACTGAGCCAAACCGGTTAGGCGCAGTGGTCGGCAAACTCATTAGTCAACAGAGCCACATATCAATGGTACAACAATCGAAATTTCTTTTGAGAGCCAAATTTTTTAAACTTAAACTATATAGGTAGGTACATTGTTATTAACTTAATTAGGGTACTCCTAAGGTGTAGGAAGAGCCACACTCAAGGGGCCAAAGAACTGCATGTGGCTCACGAGCCGCAGTTTGCTGACCACGGGGTTAGGGCACTTGAGCCAATTTTTGATCCACTTTCTTAAGTGGTAGGCATTGTCAGTGTCGGAAAAATAAAAACTATTTTGGGGTGATAAGGAGATGGAAGATACTTTTTGTTGTTGTTTTTGTTTGGTTGAAGGGGACATAGATAAGGATTGGCAAGACAGGTGAAAAGCCAGTGGGTAGAATGACTGAGACTCTACCATGAGACAGATATGTGAGCTTGGCAAAGAACTCTGGGCAGGCGAAGTTTTGCCAGGGGTATGCGCGATTACTAGCACCACGGACAGCGCTTTCCTACTAAGATTGTCTGGGTGGTCCTAATACACTCCAGCCTGAGGATTCCTGAGGAAACTTAAAACTTGATTTTCTAAAGCCCTTTCTCCCCTGAAATTAAGAGAGAATCACATGGAAGCTCAACCAGCGTGCTCATTCAACATGGTGTCCAAATATTGGATTACCTAATATTCTATATGTAAAGAATATTAAATATCCTCTATATTTAAAAGAAGAGAGGAGACGTTATACTTACTGTCTACTCTGTTCCAAGTGCTTTACAAATATTGTTTTATTTAATCCTCATAAACCCCTATGCAACATGCAGTAGTATCTCAATTTTACAGACAAGACAAAAGTATCAGAGAAGCTAAATAACTTGCATACTAGCTAATAATAGTTGGAGGTAGCATTTAACCTGTGTGGTTTCAGAGCATCTACCCTTTTCATTATATTGTTTTAGCAGCTATCATGGTAGGCTTAACTGGAAAAAAAGTGCAATAAACTAACTTATAATTATTTCCCATTCTATACTGTATTTTCCAGATGGCTTACCTCACAGCATATCCTTAATATACTTCAAAGATGACATTTTACATGCAATACAATAGCACATTTGTCTTGGGCAATAGAGTAAGATAATGAAACATTTTTCCTCTCCCTGAAACCCAGCTGTGTCTAGGATGAAATACAACAGGTTAACACTTTGAACACATTTAAGAGATGGAATGGATGGGAACATAGTGGACAGCTGAAACTTAGAATTGTCACAACTATGCCTTTTAATAGGGTGGATAATTTATAAGTGAGAAGAGATAGAAAGTAAATTAGTATCAAATTTCGGATGTAAATGGAAGGGAATGAGTAGAATCAGTTACAGTATTATAAGTAATGCAGATCCCTAGTGATAATGTTTATATTCTAGTTGGTGAAACTATATATGAACTCATTGTAAAAGTGTGAATAGAGTCAGTTAAGTGACCAAGAGAAGTAGTGACATAACTTGAACATGGTTGGATCCCACTCAGAAAGGAGTGCATATTCCTCAGATTAATTTATACTAATAGATGTAAAAATGAAATCTTCTGGCACAAATTTTAGCATAAAAGATTATTTTTCAGAAAAAAATAGTATAGACTGTAGTATTTAATCCTAGGAATTAGTGCCAAAACTTTTCTAGCAAAAAACTTTTGATAATATGTGTTGATACTACCTCTTTAGTCTCTTTAATCATTCTGAAGACATTGTTGCATATTTTTTACATTGTTAATACTTTTTTATTTTAAAAATTATAGGCTCAACATTGTATTTGATTACATATATATAAGGAACAGTTCCTAAGACATAAATACAATTCACATTCAAACTCAGACTAATTAGATGAAGAAAAAATCCAGCAAGGACTTCCTGGTCAA